ACATGATGGCTAACGTGATTACAATTTTCTCGAAGTGTGACGAAAGGAGAAGGACAGTAGTTGAAAAAAGTCTGACTTTATCTCTGGAACAATACGACCGCGAAAACAGCCTCTAAAGGCGCCGCTGAAAAAGCGGTCAGTCTTCGTAGTGGAAAAGAATGACAGAAAGCGAAGAAACCACCAAAATTCACTTGAGGACTCATCACGCGATTGAATGAAAACTGAGACTATTTTGCGAGGAGTCCACTCACGCCCATAGTCGACTAGGGACTGCGTTTCTCGCCATGCGAGAGGGTTCAGCAGTGACGTTAGAGGAGAGAGGCGCAGTGAGTTCCAGCTCTAGCACGGTGCTTTCGGCTTGTCGGACTCTTGTGTGGCTCGGAATGCGCTCCTTTTCTGAAGACTGCAGTGTGGCGACACCGCTACTACAGGGTAGCCAAAAAGTGTGAGCGCTTACAAATATCCTGTGCAGACTTTTTTTGAGGAACGTTGTGTTGAATACACTATGAAAGATCTCAAATGGCGAATTATAATAATTCTACTGGAATCATTTGAGGTATCCGCCGTCAGCTACGGCCTAAGATGTCAAATGTGAGGCGACCGACCGAAACTGCCGCGCCGCGTAGTTCAATTCCTAATTGGTCCAGACATGAAACCGTTCATATAAGTGAGTGTCAAAACAGTTCCTAAGAGTGAGTGTCCAAAATGATGATCTTCCTAGTTTCCATTTTCTCAAGCGATCCGGCTTGAACTGAAGCGCTGTCAGGAGGCCCTCTTCAACCAAAGGTGACGTCCTGGCACCCGCAAGGATTGACGGGGCTGTTCTGGCTGCGCTGCAACTTACGCTCCCTTCATACGCCATATCGCTTACATCATAGCCACATCTGGAGCCAAAGAATCTTGCAGCGTGGCAATGTGATGTAACATTCATGGTCACGACCTCCCAAAATTTATCTTTTGATCGATTCCGATGGAACACTGTTTTTGCCAGCCATTACCGGCCATGAACCGATGGGAATTACACTTTCCTTCCTGACTATCAACTATAGTCGTCCGTTCTAAACGTTACCAAAAGAGTAATTACCTGCTTTGTATGTTACTCGAAAGGGGACAACCAAGGCACTGCAATTTTCCATACTTGATTTACTCTATTTTCGATATCGGGCTAGAAACTATGTCCATTCCGCTTTACATCGATTGGCTAGAAACGTGCTTTCTCATATTGAACGAAATTTCAAGTTCCATGATTCTTTAGTGGACGATATCTCAATTAAAAAATAAAAGAATATAAATAGCTCGAGTCAGTTAAGTCCTGTTCAGCACTTTCTCATTAGTAGCTTCAAGCTAGTAAGAAAGCCGAATTAGTCTACAACATTCAGATTTTTCTGTCATATAGTCTTCAAAAAAAGGGTGAAGCCGCTGCGGTATAAAAACTAATGGGTGGAATGTTTAGTTATTTCTGCAAAACCAGGTTGTTAGATCATACCTTTTTATTGGCCCGACGTTTCGACCCTCTCGCCTTCTTCAGAAGCCTGAAAATGGCTCGGAGCTTTAATTTGTCACCTACCCGACCAAGCGCCTTCCCCACTGTAGCGTTTCCGACGTCGTGTCCCGAACGCCTCCGAAGAACCCGGTAATAACTGCGCACTACTCACCGAGGTTCCACCGTGCGGAGCATAGCTCACGCTATGTGTCAGTAGAATAAGTAGGACGGATGAGTCTCACTAGAGCACCATAGTGTCACATAAGTCAAGATTGCCATTGCAAGAATTCATTTGTAATTGACGAACACTTGTTTCGGCCATCCATCCTTGGTTTTCTAGCGAAAATCCAAAACGATTCCAAGGCTTTCCTGGAAGAGATTTCTGTCTAATACCCCAATATAGCACACTTAACGTCAAAGTCACTCCCATTATGCACCTCAATCTTATTCTTGCCAAGATGGGTAGTCATCATATTACGCCTTTCCCCAGCTAGGTGTTCCTTGATGCGACTAGCTAAGTCCCTTCCTGTTTCTTCGATGTATGTGCTGTTACAAGCCCTGCATTCAAGTTGATAAATTACCCCGGTTTTTCCACAATCTCTTATTTTTCCATATGGGCAAATAACGCAATCTGGTGTCATGCATTGCATGTCGTACAGTCTGTTGCGAACAAGTTGGCGTTTGATGTTGCTGTTGGAAATGTTCACTAGGATATCATCATCCTGCAACTGTGCTCTCACAATGCTGCGACGTATTTCAGTGTCGATGGCATCGGAAGCAAAAGGAAGGCACAAGGTTAGCTTCCCTTGGCATGATACATGTCGAAGGCTGCCATTCTATGTTCTACGATATGCTCGTACCGCATAACCATTTTCTTTAGCAACTTTCGAAGCTAAAAATCTTGATTCCTGTCGTTCTTTCTTGCCTGTTCACATCCTGGTTGCAGTCGTGATCATGTTCCTAATGACTGCACGTTTTACGGCAGCAGGATGTGAAGACGTTGCGTGAATCAGAATATTCTTACAGCTAGGTTTGCGGTACCATTTTACTTTAGCAATGCCGTTGGACAGCTTCACCTGCGTATTGAAATATGGTAGCCAATCGCGTTTCGGTACTTCTCGTGTGAGCCTTATGTGCTGCGACTTCTTTATTAGTAATCCGAAACACTTATCCATTTGGATTGTGTTGACTTATAATGAAGCAGTCGTCGATGTACCTACAGTCAGTATATTAAAGGAGAACGACACAGTACTGGTTCTTCGATTCTGCTCACAAAGCAGATTGCGAGTACCGGTGCTAGTCGCTGACCCATTGCCAAACCTCTGACTTGAGAGTAATAGCGTCCTGACCATTTGAAGATATTACAACGTAAGCATTTCTCAACCAGAGTCATGATGTGCACTTTATTTAGTCCGAAGGGTTGATAGCGGCAACATGCATATTCAGCATCTCTGACAAAGCCTGTAGCGCTTGTTCGTTTTGTCATTCGTGTACAGTGCAGTGATATCAAACGACTCCACTGCACAGTGGATCCCGAAGAGTTGTGAAGCTGGTGAAGGAACTGGTTCGCGTTGGTCAGGTGAGACGGGATTTTGGTCAGCAACTGGCTGACTATTGTGTTTAGGTACCATGATATCCGGTCGGTTGGTCCACAACACAGCTTATAATAGGTCTTATTTTATATGTGTCCGGTGTCATTGACAGCATATCGTTAGGAGCCAGTTTGTGTGTCTTGACCAGGCTGTAAAAAACTGGAGAAGTAGGTTTGTCAAGTCTGAGCCTAGTCAAAAACTTCCCATCAATTCCCTCAAATCTTCCCACAGTCAACCACACACGATTGAGGCGTCTACATTGGCTCACAAAGTTTTCAACGGTGGCGCGATGATAAACGGATGAGTCTTGCAGATGAGGTTCAGTTACTTCACGGTCTCATGACTGTGAGATTACGGCGAACACCTCTGTCGCTAACAGAGACACGTATTGTACCGTTCAATCTCAGCGCGAGTACTTCTCTGAACCCTTGCCTTTGTTCATAAGTCATATTGTTATGGTGAAGCCGTCTGCATCGATTCAGTGTGTTCAGCATACCTGATGCTAAGATTATGAACTTCACATCCGACTCGACTACTGGTTGGGGCTGTTTATAGATAGTACGTGGGAATGGTACAGCAAATAGCAATCTCTGATCAGGAGCCGAGGAGGTCTGCATGTTGTTAGCGCGCCTGCTCTTGTACCTCATTAGATCTCTCAACAACTGTAATCCACCCACAACCTTATGGAAAGTGACTGCATTCATGCTCTGAGCTGATGCAAACGATGGTCCGAGACTGAGGAAACTCAAGGCATTAGCAGAAAGCTGAGCGTCGCCTAGAACAGTGGCTCTTGCTGTTTGATCGTCATTTTGAGCACTATCGTTAGTAAAGCGGTGGTCGGTAGAATAGTTATCACTGCCATTACTGGAGTTCCCTTGCAGCGAACGCAAAATTCGGTCGTATTTCGTACAAAGAGTGACTTTTGCCCTAGATCGAATAGTATCACAAATCCCCCTCGACCCACCCTCAGTCCTCCTCCAAATTCGTTCCGGCAAAAGACGTCGGCATGCTTTTTTTTACTTCACAATACAAAAATACAGTGCACATTGTTTTCTCATAATAATAATCCCTAGAATACAACGGTAAACATTCGTTATCAAAGGATCACTTTCTGGTAAACCGCAACATGTGCCGCTTCTTATTTAGAACGAAGCGAGGACGTCGGTCCAACAAAAAGATTTCATGTAGCAACATTGTTTGACAGAGTCAACTAAACATTCGACATCATGCCGAGGTTACAAGAAGGGACAACTTGGAGACTAATGAGCGGATTTCTTGCATGAAGCAGACCACATTCCGCAGGGTACAGCAGGGAAGATCTCAACGGAACGGGTTCATACTTGATCGCCGTGGAGGAGGGCTGTAATGAGTCTGGGAGTCTATGGTCTCGAGAAAACCATAACCATTACAGGAACCTCTTTGTGTGTAGCACTTTTGGGTCATCCACGAAAGACGGATGGCTGATACTGCTATTAGCTAGTTGAGTAATTTTTGTGCAATATTCTCTGAACGGTGTTTTCGTTAGCGGTTTTCTATGGCTGCTCACAACCTAGCGATGCTGACACTTTGCTGTTGACTGACTCACCGCTTACAACCCCCCCCCATCCCAATCAGCGGCCAATCTCGCTGGGGATTCGCAAAGAGGAGTCGTACTCGACTCTGCCCGCCATAAATGACGAAAGATGTGTATGATGACCACATAAGTGTATGGCGAAGGAGCTCCGATCTTTATTCGCTATAGTTGACTGTCTGAATGATCATCTCTGGAGAGACCGATCGCACGCTTCTTTAGTTCTGTCTCTTCATTCAGAAGCTGTCTTATATCTGTAACACGTGATTCATTCTTTTGTGATTTATGCTTGATGTTATCTCCTTTTTACTGCACTCTAAATATATTCTACACCAGCTTTCTCGAAACAAGCAAAATGCACGACCTCATAACGCCGGATCCATTCCCGGAGGATGTTCTTCGAAAGGCGAAGAAATTGAGGTGAGTCAATTCTATTACGTCACATGCCGCGGGGTACCCTTTAGTGACTTGAGGTATGAGAGTAGTTTGTTCGTTGCACATTCACTGTGTTAATTCGCTTAAGGGAAACGTTACCGGTGCCAGAGAGCCTTGATTCACCTTTCTATCTCGCACGACTACTGCGGGCTTGTGGAGGGGACGAAAAGATGGCCAGGAAAAGAGCAGAAGAGATTTTCAGTCACAGGTTACCCCTGTCTCAATGTGCTTTTGTTTGATCGATCATCAGAGTCCTCTCGGATTATTTCTGTAAATAACAAATTTTTTCGTTTAAGGCAAGTGGCACGATGAATCCTTAGGGCGTGTAGAACTTATAATGCGCTTGGCAGGACAGAATTCAGCCCTTGTGAGCAGGCGCTGCGTGAGGCTTTTTCCAAGGATCGTGCCCTTATAGCGCCCTATGAAGCCGTAACAAGGGACCCGGGCGTCCACCGCCCCCGCTCGCCCACAACTGTTTGACCAGTCCCGATGCTCATATAGTTTAATTCGCGAAGCCTAGCAGGAAAAGAAGCGATCGGTATGAAGCGGCTGCGGTGCTGCATGAACATATGAGGCATACTCGCAGCCGTATCTACTATCTATCTACTTATTGGCATGGAATCAACGGGAAACTCGTCCAGAACTCTGAGTCGTGCAAAAAGAAGGTCTTTTTCTGCAGGTATTTGACCGTTGCACTTCATTTTCCGCACTTTTTCACTATATAGGCCGCCCCCGCTACCATTTTAGACCAAGTACCAAATTATCGTGCCTTATGCCTTTGTTCAGTCCAATTCGCTGCTGACACTAAGGCGTTTCAGCAGGCTGGGTTCTGCGTGAGGCCGACTAGTTCTTCACACGTTCTTGTCGCGGGCCAGCTTCCACAATTGGTGGAGAACCGATTGGCGCTGCGCCAAACCCAGCCGCCCGGACATGTCACACCGTCTGCAGCGAGCAAGATTGTAATTGAAGCTGAAAATTAAGTTCTCAAGAGAAACGAGTCCGCAACGATTCAGAAAGGCAGATGTTTCTGGAGCTTTCCGAATTCCTGCCTTTCTAATCTGAATCTTCACCTTTAGGGAGGTACTTGGCTACGCGAGATGTAGCGATCTGGAGATCTTCACAGAATTTCCTATTTCGAAAGCAACTTTGGAGGTTGTTTCTTTTGTTCCACCCATGATTCTCTTTATTGCATGTTGTTTTGCAACTACCATCCATTTATTGCTCAAACTAAAGACTTTTCTATTTTGAAGAGGGTTATAGACGATAATGTGAAATGGGAACACCTGCCGTACCACATTCAAGCTCCTAACTGGAACAGCAATGAAAAAGAAGGGAATTTTCAAGTCATCTCCATGTACTGGCATTTTGCGCAACAGGAATGCTCCTTGATTATGGCGCAGTAGTGGCAGCTGTGGTGAAGCACTCGTGGATATAAAACGTCAGACGCTATAAGCCATCCGGTTCAGGTCACGTCGTAAATTGTGTCCCCAGAGGGGGTCGTACTTGCCTCTAAAGCTTGTTTTTTTTGTATCTTTGCAACTATCTTTTGGAAAGCAGTGCCTCATTGACCTAGCCTCTTTACCCCCAGGAACGCACTGTGCGAGATTGTGGTGGACTACGGAGGGTTGGCGGACCTACTAACAATAAGATGGTAGCCGGACCCAAAGTCCCAATAATGCAGTGTTGGCAGGCCACTCTTCCCTTCTCGTACTGTCCACCATCCCTTCACCTGACCCCCTCTTACCTTGATCTCCACCTATATATATACTCGGTATCCCTGAGACCGGGTAGACGTGGCTGCGCACTTAATTTCAAGGTGGCGGCGACCCAGGCTTTCGTGAGATATTTTTATTTCAGAATAGTCTTAATAATTTCCACATTTAACACAGAACAAGGCGGCACTTGTTTCAAATTGAAGTATCCCCGAGTAACCCGTCCTATGCCATGCTCAAAAGTCACGCCTACTCCGTCTCAGAGATAAAGAGTGTACATGATTACAATAAGACTTCTGCCTGAAATAATGGTACATGCATCAAAAGCATTTTTCTTACCTCACATTTCTTCGCCTTGCATTATTTCTATTGTTATTCCGTGGTCACTTTTCTAGTTTGCTAACTGTTTATTGCTGGATACAATAACTCGATAAACAAATAGATAAATGAATAGATTGATCACCGTTGCTCTTTCTGATTTCTCACGATTTCAGCTGTTCCATGTGCGCTATATAATCCTTCGCTTCCGCTCGACGGAAAGTGAAGCATCTTCTGGGAAGAAACTCTGCAAAGTGGTAGAAAGTTGGAAAATTCAGAAAGATAGTAGGTAGGATGGTCGATGGAGGAGGGGAGCCTACCATAGGAAATAATTCCGGAGGGGAAGGAGTTTTGGTTAGAAAACATCTTCCCCAACGGCAAGACGTGCCTTGAACCGGACATATAACAACGAAAGGTGAACCCTACGTGTGTTAAGGTGTATAGCTGGTGGGATAGCTGGCGCTACCTAACTGAATTCTATGATTGCGGTCTGTATGTACAGTACATTTCTTTTTATCCAATTTTATACAAAACAGTCACATCGAGCTTACGCTAGTGACTTAGAAACCCAAATCCAGCAACTCGGCTTGTTGCAGACTAGGAGAACCTCAAGCTAAAAATTCACATTTGCAATTCTTTACCTTTTTTCGTGCCTTTTTCACGCGCAAAAATCGAAAAAAATTGGTTTCAGCGATTTCGTGTCTCTTTAGTGAGAGGATCTCCTCGTTCTGGAGATGTTTATGTTGCTTTCCAGAAGATGGAAGGATGCGATCTCAGAGAGGTACAACATATTTCGTGGGAGCATTTTTTTTCTAAAGCTATTCTCATATTGTGCTAGTTACTGTCTACGGTCATTGATTGAGCGGTTAGACTCACCCCCACCAACTGGGAATTCCCATCCACTGAAATTTGAAGAAAAGCCAAGATGAGAAAGGATATGATGGGAAAAAGAGAGGCCCGAGCGATATTGCTCATCTCCTTATGCTCCATGCATGAGTCTCCTACGCAGTGGTGATGGAAGACGCAACTTCCCATTCCTAGAGTAAGGTCAATCATGCATGCGTATGTGTTAGAGTCCGTAATCTGCCTACCGAACTCTTCAATTTGTGCTATTTGGTCGTCTAATTACCCACTAGTTGATGCAAACTGAATAATGCTGTCAGTTAACAAACTTGATTTTATGCGGTGTTCTCCACACATAAGGATACGCCATACGTCAAGCCACGCCCACTGTGGGCGTGGCTAGACGTAAGTCATGTGCACTTTGCACATCTTCCCCCGTTTCGTCCCCATCCCAATCCTAATCGAAGCTTTCCCAGCAGTGAACTGATTAAATGGAAGTAATGTTATTCAACATTAGAGATTTCTGCAGCCGAACCTCCTGTCCCCTCCAACTGAGGGCGGGTGCGTTACTCGTTGCTGATTCTCGCTTACTACCCCACATCCGATAGTCGATACGACCCCTTGTTGCAAAAATTTTCTAGCACCTCACCGCACGGCTAGGTTAACGACCATCTAGGGGTTCGCTTGTAAAGAGCGCTCTTTTGACATAGACGAGATCTGATCTCTGGACACCCACATACAATTCATGCATAGTGACATAGATGATTTCCACTGCCTCATTCTCGTTACTTTACTCATAGCCGTATTATCGTTTCTTCATGCTGCATTTTTTGAATTCAGATTATGAAGGTCATCCCGCTGTCGCACGTACTGCACACCTACTACATGATACATGAGATGTACAGTCGTATTATGGCCGACAGCGAGAACAAAACTGGTACTGTTACAAGGCTACTTTTGACCTAGAATTTTGATGAGAAAAGCGTGAAACTGAGCCATGGTGAGCTCTTTATTCTTGCGATTTCATACCACGTTTCCCCGCTGATCATTATCTTTCGTCCAACGAACCTTCTCTCTTAATATTCCTTGCTTGATCACAGACACGGTTGGCTAGGGCGTAGTGAATCAAGGCATTTTATTTTGCAGCAGATCCTACGGCTACTACCGAGGCTATTCTCGTCTATTCTTTCTCTCGTGCTGGCTTCAAAAATGCATTTCTATAGACCTTAACAGTCCCTCAGGTTATATGTCAAATAGTGACATCACATTATATGTCAAATAGCTCAATAAATAAACTACTATTGAAAAAATGATTCCCACTTGGAAACACGCAACTGGTAACCCTGAGAACCATAATAATGACAAATTCAACCATCAGTAAGTGTGTCACATGGCGTTCGTCTACGAAATGCGACCAGTTTCGTGAACAGTGCCACATCGACCATTGGAAAAGGAATTTTAGTGCGTGTAGGTAGACAACGTGTAAACAACGTGTAGCTGTAGTTTGGCCGCGGTGAATTCATCAAATCTAGTCTGAGAATCTGGTTCTGAGATGACGACAGTGTACAGCAGCTACGCTTTGCCACTTCGGCACGTTGCGGCCACGGAAAAGTTACTGCAGACGGAGAGCTGACGAGTGGACAAAACGGCGGCAGGAGCAGGCGAAGGAGAGCAGGCGTAGACGAATATGAGGAGGAGGAGGGGGACGAAATAACGACGATCGCGGAGACCATCGACGGCGGAGGTACCTACCGGTTGGAAAGGCTGTGTCTTAGATACTGAGCTTTTTACAGGCGGTCCGACTGTTTTTAATTCCCGGCACATGCACCAGAATTGGCTGCTCTATATCTCAGCAATCATTATCGTATAACGTAGCGGTTTCTGGCAGTTCGACAATTATAAGAGAAGCTACTGACTAGCACTGGAGCCGGGGCAGGTGCCAATTCCTCCATCGAACCTCAGTAAAGATTATATGTGCATCATGTCAAGGTTACAGCAAAGTCGATCCTGGCACATTTCCTAATGGAGAAACCTTAGTGTTCACAATACAGTCGTCATCCGGGCACTTGATCAGGGCATTTGAGTCTTGAAGCAGCTGCAGTGCGTCACGACTGGGGCGATTAGCTTTTCCAGTGACTTGGCCATTTTCTCCCTGATTTTCACTACATTTTCTGTTTTTTTCCACGGCTAGTTGTTTTGTTGTTTTTAAGAAATACATGGGGCGTGGAGATTTTTGTTGTTTTTACAGTGGAGTGTTATGCGATTTTTTTTCAGGTGTTTGTTCAATTGTCTGCTCAGTTGTTTAATCGCGCCCGAAAATCAGAGGAATCCCAATCATAATTTGCCTTGTGAAGACAAGGAACAACTAATATCGAGAATAGCAGCTGCACAGTGTAAATTAGGGAGAAAATGACTAAAGTAGGCTGGAAACAGCTGATCGCCGTGATCGTGACACGCCGCAGCCGCGCCGCGTCCCTTGCCGCTCTAATCATTGCCCGGATGACGACTGTAGATCTCACGAGAGCCCCACAAATTCATTGGAGACACAGTCTGCGCTTGTGTATGCGCCACAAATACCACAGCAATGACCTGCCACAACATACGACACCCTGCTGTAACCAAGAATTGCAGGACGCCCGTGCTCCATCGTCTCCGTCATCGACCTGAAAGGCTTACGATTTAGTGACTTCCTGAATCCTCTTTCAACATGTTCACAACTGGCCCATCACGTGACTAAAATCTGGTCTGATTATTTTCGTGTACAATGTTGAGTATGCTTGAATTGCTTCTTCCATCTGCCACGCTTTCGTAAAACTAGTTATTATTACTCGGATGTTTTTGTGCTTCAAAAAGTTATTGGCGTCACACAGATATGCAAAATGGTCCTCATCAATCACCTGCAGTGCTGTCGTTCGTAGTCAAGGTGAGTTCGCTGATTTATCAGATTTGCATAAGTTCCGACAAGGGCGGTGACCGGTGACATTGAACATAATGAGAGTAACGCACAACCGCTACAGGGAACCGATTCTTATATCCCTCACGTGTTGCACTTCAGATAACGAGTTTAATCCTGGATACAAAGACATTCAGTCATATGATATTCCTCGATGATGTCTCCGATCTGCAAAAATATTTGGAACCACATGTGAGTAATGATCTTCATGTTCTTCCTACATGAAACCTGGGCAGTTGTCTTCTCAGAAATCCAGTGTCGTTTCATTCTTCCAACAGATCTGTGGAATCTTCACTACACCTGACGGCAGGATAGCGCTTTCTTCGAAGGCCTGTAAACACCGCAAATGTCATACATCCCACTCGATGCATGCCTAGCCTCACACAATTGTAACAGAGACAATCGATTTATGAACAGTGTTAAAGTAGAATGTCAGTGACAGGTTACTCACTTCAATTCCACGAGTGCCGGAGACTTGCCTAGTTCCATCGGACAATGAGCGAGTGACAGTTACCGGGGTGGGTTGCGATGTTTTCATAATAACACGCACAGTGTGCCAATCAGTTCTCGCGGTTGATGTTCACACTGTGGAGTGCAGGGCAAGAAATCGTATCGGTATCGTATCAATCACTCTCATTACAGAAGCACAAATTGCGGTGCATTAGAGTTTTCTTGCACCTATAAGGTGGGTAAAACTTGTGAACGCCATCTTTCCTGTTCAAAACAAGTGAATAGGTCCGTCATGCATACTTTGCAGCACCTAGGTAATCGTGCTTTCCTTCCAGTAGTCTGGTGTAGACCGACCATCCGAAAAAAACGGTTTATTGGAGAACTGAGTAATCTTATCAGAGACACACGGTGACAAAAACAAACTATCCTTAACAGTGAGAGGATCATCTTATCAAATGACGGCGATGATAGTAGGTGATGACCAGTTTAACAAGCAAAGACCAGCTTGACGGGCACTGACAGGTGAGCTGTTGAGAGAGGCGACATAGGTGTTCGTTTCCCACAATGGAAAAGAGGATTACTTGGTTCATTGGGAGGGTGCCATTTCCATATCAAGCGCTGTGATCTTTCAATCTTCCGCATGTCGACTCTCCTCCCTTAATCTAATCTTGCGAAGCTCGTCTTTTGCAGGTTCATACTATTTTTGTGACATTCATGTATTATTCAAGTTGGGCGCTTACCCACTGTGAAGCCACGTGTGAACCTTGCGCAGGAGCAGAGATGTATCCCAATTTATCAGCTGGATTTTTCAGTGAAGGAAAGAATGCATTGTCAACGCGAGAAAGACAACCGATCGCAACTAGTCAGTTCACGGAAGACCCCCTCACTCAGCAAAAGAAATGCAAAATGAGGACATCGTTCAGACACTGTTCACCCCCGTCTGACATTGTAAAGTGCAGTTCATTAGTCATAGTTCGTCAGTTCAGTTTCATCAGTTTTACGGGAGTATCCGAAATATCGTGAAAGCCTATTTAGGGCTCCACAGATACTGAATATGCAAATAACAATCCTAGATCAGAGACCTTCTTTGAATATGCTCACTAGATGCAGGGAAGTGATTACGTGCACAGTGTGGAAGAAATGTTGCGATAAATTCTGGCGGTGAAATAAAGGATTCTCACCGACTCAGCATCAGTTAAAGGACTATCGGATTAACAGAAGAGGAGAATTGGCATAAGAATAGCGCTTCCGAGGAGTTTGTCTTCTTCGTCTGTATCTGCTGCAATCAATTTTTTCCCCCAAGCCCATTCAATAACTTGGGATTCCCATCAGTTACTAGCGAAGTGAGAACTAATGTTGAAGCCTAAAAGGAGTGTCGAGAAAGCTGAGGAAAACCAGAAACATAGGAACATATCCGCCCACGAAGAGATATCGACGCTAGAATACCTCGAGGGCAACCTCCCTGATTCGTTCAATCAAGAGCAAAGGGCACTCGAGAGCTCGTATATGCTCGCTAAACTGAACCATCTCAATACCTAGAGGACTGCGAGTTGCTAGCAAAGATCCCTGTGTAGTATTGTCGCGTTATAATAGAGATATCTATTGTCATTGATACTAAATAGCCTCAAGGGCCGTAAAGTTGCAATAACACACCGCCGCGTACGAGTCAAAGCAGGTACTCTCGAACCTTCCCAGAAATCAGCAGTGCAAGCACGACATGCCCATGCTCGAATTGTTCGTAAGAATAGCACAAAATGAGGTTTGGGAGAGTGCACTGCAAAGAACTAATGATGGGTCCAGAAGTAGTTCACTCCCCGAAACCAGTATTTCGCTTTTTTAGGTAATTCCTGTGGAGTACGGTGGTACACGACGAGATGATTCCGGTCACTCAGAACATCCAGAGAGTTGCGTCCGCCCTTACAAACCCGTCACAAGCGCTGAATACAGAGGAGTTAGTTTCTTACTGTATATTATCAAATAAAGTCAACAAAATGAAAGAAGAAACTGAAGCTGATCAAACTTTTTGTCAACAGTAACCTTGAAGTGCCCGGGCTTTGCTAGTCATTGTTTGTTCAGGTAGACGACGTGTGGAGTGACCACGGATTCTCCAAACCCCCACCAAGTGAGACATTCACCATGAAAAGCCACCAGCCTGTTGAACTTGTCAGGTGAGAAGCGTATTGTCTGAAGGCAAGTATCAGTGATGCTTACTATGTATAGATGTTATTCAGAGAGTGCAACCGAGCTGGCAGACTTGTCTGGAACTTCGTGATTACCGGAGATGTAGAATTTGAGATTGTACGACGAGAGATTGGAAATGATGTAAAAGTTTGGCCGAAAATTGTCTTGACAAGCTTGAAGGTACAAACTAGTTTGATTATGAATGCTCACTCAGCTGTACATGTGTCTCGTTTCAGCTTCCGGAGTACGGTAGTATACCAACAGTGCCGGGCAAGTATGTATTGCGATTCGACAACCCTTCAACGACGCTGTTTTCAGTTAAGGTCAAAGGTGCCGCGGAAATCAAAACAAGTGCTGAATAAATGGCAAAATCTCCGAGCATTGCTTATTGATTATTTGCAACGCTGATGGATTTCCAGGATATCCATCTTCCTAGTTTAATTCTGTTATCAAGGCCTTCAAAACGTGAAATACCAGGAAAATACTGCAGATTTAGATAAGATTTCCACATTCCGAAGACCGAGTATCAAGGTTGAGCCTATTGCACAATCCACTCAAAGGAGCTTCGTAATTCGAAGACAAGCTAAAACTCACAGCCGTGGATCCTTACCCTTGTAGCTGCCACTTTCGGCCCATTGCTGCACGGTGACGAGGGCTAAGAACAGTGGTACCCCTGTGTTGGCACCATGCTGAACCAGGCGCTGCTGAGGAAACAGGCGCTGCTGACCAGCCACACGCCTGGTTGTAGCTACACATGTTGCTTTTCTGCGCCCTATCAGGTCTAGTTGTCTCACCACCAAAAACGTTTTTCGCTGCGGGACCTTCGCTTCGATGTAGATGTTGCACTTCGAGTATAACGCCGGACGAGGTATGGTGGGCAGCACCGTGTATCACTATTCTCTAGTTCAGTTTCTTGCAGCTACCGACCTATTCACCTCGTACATGGTAACGCCCGTCTTTGAAAGTGAGCTAGATACAGTTTTTCTGGAAACCACTTCTGTTGGAGAGTCTCCCCCTCATCTTTCCTCACTGTAGTGGCACTGTATAGACTGTTGAACCTGTTGAGAATTGACAACATGAAATACGTTCTTCATGGAGTGCAGCCCCATGGTGCTTTTTGCTCCACGTAATGTCTAATGTGGAGGTGTGGGTATGTACAGTAAGGGGGATGTACAGTAACGGTCAAAGATAGATGCGGCTTTTGTTTTTGATCGTAACTCTGATGTTTCATCATAGATCCTTTCCATACTTCATTGTGCTTTCGGCGGTTTGCGGCAACCGAGGATACGATTCACGTTCGGGAGGTCAAACTGAATGGACATTTTGGCTGACGCTATTTGATTTTGAGCCGAGCGAATGTGATGGTCATATCCATGAGGTTAATCTCCATAGAGACCAATTTTAGACAAGTCGAGATTCTGACCAGATTCCAAAAAGAGGAGCAGTGGAGGGTGGCATTGCCAATGTTTTCCCCTCTCTTTCTAGTTTCGTTATCTTCTTCATCCGAAGAAAATTACAGTGGTAGAGTGGAGAGCTCTTGATACTTGCGCTTATCGAAAGATGATGCAACTGTGAAGAAACGATTTATCATCAAATGATCAGAATCGCATATATCTAAAAGTTGCCACTAAAGTATACATACTCTGGACATCACATCTAACTCTGGTCTCAATCCACTTGTGTTCGAGCCGGTTTTTCTGAAGTCGACCTGTACTTGATGATTATCATGAATAAAGTACAGGTCATGTGTCGCAGCGGCGATGTCCGTAATCGGATTGTTTTCCACCATAAGAGCAGAACCCTGTAGAAGCTTGCACACAAGCGAGCAGCACAAGAATTTATGCAACTGAATGTGGCTAGGAGTAATATTGAAGGACCTCTTGAGCTTAACGGCGGGTGACGGATGTCTTCACGTCTATCAATAGTGATTGGTTAGAGATTCGGGAACAACCAGTGGTGAGAACGCCGAGGAAGGGCAATTTTCACCTATTTTCAAAGATTTCCATTTGATCACTATGCAAAAAAACCATACGCTGCATTCACACGAAACTCAATTCAATTGGAAGTTCTGCAAAGCGTCGACTCTTTCTGCGTCTATCAAGTTAACCAGTCTGCAATCCGTCAACTATCTAGAAAATACAATGGCTGAAGACGCAATGCCGCAATGAGAAAGTGCCGCTCCC